TACTGACTATACACTTAAAAATGGTTAAGATGGTGAATTTTGTGTTATGTGTGTTTTGCCACAATTAACATTTTTTAAAATTTGTAAATATACATGGGATCATAAAGGAAAACAATTACATTTAAATATTGTTACCAAAATATTAAATTTTTTGGTATAGTAACAGTGCATTTTTATCAATTCATTAAATAAAAAGATCTAGCAGGAAATCTAGTAGCAATTGTAATTACAAAGTGGTGATGAAGTGATGCAAATGAGTGATGGTGCAAATGGTATTTAGATATCTCTCGAACAATTGTAATGTGAAATGAAAACATCTGTTATTTCTATTAGGAACAACATCACAGATACTACCAGTACCAGTTGTTTGTTGCCTGTATTCATTTGTTGAAGGAGATGCTAAATTTCTGTTAGAGGTTAGTAAAAATAAAGAAGTAATTTTTTTCCCCTTCCAAGTTTACAGACTCTCTGAACTCTATGGTCTACAGGCCCATGTTTAGAACCTCTGCTTTGTGACCTTGGGTAAACCACTTAGCTTCTCTAAGCCTCAGTTTTTTCATCAGTCTTTATGTTAGTGTTTGAAACATTCCTCACTTATTCACTCTGTCAAACTTCTAGGCAATTATTTCACACCATTTTCACATTTCAACCTCCATCACTTCTTCCTCATTCTATCTCTCAGTTGCTTCCCACTGAGCAATGAAAGTAATCAGAAGAGAATTTCCACAGACCCCCACCACATACACCTACCTCTGCACCTTCATCCACTTTCTCTGCCTGTGGCCTATTACCATAGGTAAACTGCCCATACTCCTACCTAAGGCCTATCCTGAATAGATCCCATCCCCTCCAGCAATCCTCCCCTCCCTCCTACATCATCAAAGTTTTGGGGCTGTACTCAAAATAATTTTCATCAACATACAAACATGCTATTTCTCCCATCTTAAAGCCTTTTCTTGATCCTATTTCCCATGCCAATGAACTTCTATTTCTTTGCATCCATATTTGGCAAAACTCAGGTTTCTTATACTGTTTGTGTATTCCATTTTACCATTCTCTTTAAACCCACTCCAATCAGTCTTTAATCCACACCATTTAACCTAAACTGCTCTTGTTTTTTTTGTTTTTTTTTAAAGATGACCGGTAAGGGGATCTTAACCCTTGACTTGGTGTTGTTAGCACCACGCTCAGCCAGTGAGCGAACCGGCCATCCCTATGTGGGATCTGAACCCGGGGCCTTGGTGTTACCAGCACCGCACTCTCCCGAGTGAGCCATGGGCCAGCCCCTAAGCTGCTCTTGTTAAGGTTACCAATTAACCCACATTGCTAAATCCAGTGGTCAATTATTTTTTTTTAAATAACAAGATATTTAAAATTTTAAAATTTTTATTTATTTATTTTTTTTGAAGATGACCAGTAAGGGGATCTTAACCCTTGGCTTGGTGTTGTCAGCACCACACTCTCCCAAGTGAACAACAGGCCGGCCCTTAAAAAATTTTTATCTTTATTGACACATAATTTGCATACCATCCAATTCACCCCTTTGAAGTATAGTATACAATTTAATGATTTTTAGTAATGACAATGCTGATTGCACATATTCACAGTGCAATCAGCACTGTCAGTTTTAGAACACATTTTCATTGCAATGGTCAATTCTTCGTTTTCATTTTGCTTGACACGAAGACAGCATTTGACAGTTGATCATGCCCTTCTCCTTGAAACATTTTTTTCACTTGGTTTCAGGACATCACATTCTCTGAGTTTTTCTCCTTTCTCACTGGTCATCTCCTCTCAACTGACTTGGCTTTTCTTCCCCATGAGATAGGAGAAGGCCCAGAGATAGGAGTGCCCCAGAGTATAATCCTTTAGGCTCTTCTCTATCTGCCTGGGTGATCTCATATAGCCTCATGGCTTTAAATACCATCCATATGTTTAATACTACCAAGTTTACATCTCTAGCCCAGATAGCTTTCACCATCTCCAAACTTGTATATACTGTACAACTGCCCCCTCCACACCCCCATGCATATTCTAATAGACAATCAGATATGTTCAGATCTAACCCTGCTCTACCTGCAGTCTTCCCTACCTCAGCTGATGGTAATGTCATACTTCTGATTGTTCTGGCTAAATATCCTGGAGTCATCTTTGACGCCATTTCTCTCTCACACACCACATTCAATCAGGAAATCCTGTTGGCTCTACCAATATATCCAGAACCCTATAAACTTCTCCTAGTTGATCATAGATGCCACCATCACTAGCTTGGATTACCAAAATAGCCTTTTAGCAGGTCATAGTGCTTTTATCCTTGTTCCCCTACAGTCTAGTCTCAACACAGCAACCAGAGTGACTCAAAATAGAAGTGACTTCATGTTAGTCCTCTGCTCAAAACCTTTCAGTGACTCCCCATTTCACTCAAAGTAGAAGTACTATGGCCCATAAGGCCCTCCATAATCTGGTTTTCCCAGGCTTATTTGTCTTCCTGACTTGGTATCTCTTACTACTCTCCCCCTTACTTTGCTCCATTTACACTGGCCTCAAATTTTCCTCAAACACTCCAGGTACTTCTGACTTACAGAGTTTACACTGATTGTTCTCTCTGTCTGGAAAGCATTTCCTCCAACAGTATGATTTATTGAATCGCCTTACTTCCTTTAGGGCATTGCTCAAACTTCATCTTCTCCAGATGGCCTTCTCTGACCACCATTTTTTTTTTTTTTGGCAGCTGGCTAATATGGGGATCCACACCCTTGACCTTGGGGTTACAACACCATGCTCTAACCAACTGAGCTAAACAGCCAGCCCCTGACCACTTTTTTAAATATAAAATCAACTCTCACTTCTCCCATCCCCAAACCCTCTTACCTTGCTCGTTTTCTTTTTTTTTCTTTTGTAGCACTTATCACCTTCTAACATATAATATTTCTTATGTTTATTTATAGTGTCTCCTTTTCCTCTAGAATGTAAGCTCTCCCAAAGCAAGAACCTGTTCGTTAATGTATCCAAAGTGTCTAGTACAGTGCCTGGTACAAAGTACTCAATAAATATTTGTTGAATGAATGAATAAAACATAGTAGTATAATAACACCTAAAAAGTTATTGTAGGGATTAAATAAAAAATTATCTAAAAAGTTATTGTAGGGATTAAATAACAGGCAAAGGTCCTGACACACACAATGGATGCCCAACAAATGTCAGATCCCTACCTCTCTTCTCTTGTCTCCAAATATCTTCCCAAGTTGCCTGCTCTTACAGCACTGCTCCCTCTCTCCTCTCCTGAAATTTTCACCATTCTAGTCTCTCCTTTGAGTTTAAATCTAGGGAAATCCTACAAAAATCCACAGATGTTGTTACCGGCATCCAGGCCCTGCTGCTCTCCACTTAGACACAAAGACTCATCAGTCCCCAATGTTGGTGCAAGGCAGGAAGTTTATTATCAGATGCCTGAGGAGACAGTCTAGAACTGTCTCTCCACTTTAGGATTTTAGGGGTGTTTAAAGAGGAGCTGAGGGAACAGAATGTGGGAAATGAAAAGCAGGAGGGAGGGGGATGTACAAGGGGCCAGGTGCAGTCTCACCAAGACTCTCTGTCCGGTTTTCTCTTCTATCCTTGTTATCTCATGGTCGTGCTGGAGGGGTGGAATCAGTATAGCTTTATTGATGTCTTTCTCGGTTTCCCAGTGTCTGGATAGTACGTACAAGTCTGCAGCTCCAAGCTGGCTGGAAAACAACTTTACATTCATGTAAATAATGTCATCCTGTCCCATAAACAAGGCTCAAAATATCAAACAACCATGGGAAAAGAGGGAACTCAGAGAAATGAGTGCCAAGGGAAAAAAACTGTTTTATAGCCCATGTGGCTTTAGGTCCCAACATGGCTTCAGTCCTCCTCACTCCAACACATACAATACACATTTTAATTGTATTGCTTAATGAATTTTAACAAATGTATAGGTGATTTGATTTGGAGTAGAGGGCATTAAGGTCACCTGGGATTATGCAGGTCCAGGGATTTAACAGAGGGATCCTGGTTAGGAAAGAGGACACACACAAAAAAAGGCTCTTGGGAAACATAACCAAATAGGGACAAGTGGAGACACCCACCGCTGGCCTAAGGTTGGTCCTGGGGTCTCACTGCACCAGGATCCGGACCTATGGAATGCCTGGCAACTTCATGGTACCTCCTGGCCCTCCTGAGGGAGCGAGCCAGCTTCCTTTCTCACCACTCTCACGTGGTCAGGAGGTAAGACGTGGGACTGAGTTCCGGCTCCCACGTGCCCTGCAACTTTCCTGCTACCACCCACGCCCTCCATCCCCGCCCAACGATGCTTTTGCTTTTTCCCGCCCATGCTCCAGCATGCGACAGCCAAGTTTCACCCCGCCACGACACTCACAGGGTCCCAGCCGCTCCATCCTTAGTTTGAAACCGGCTTCGGATCCGTCGCTGCACCGCAGGCGGGAAAAAGCAAAAGCGCTGCATCGGGTTCCCCTTCAGGTCCGCCATCACCTGGTCTCTCGGATCCCTGAGGCTCGTGGCCTCTAAGGAGCAAACGGCTGACCCCGCCTACCAACCAGGCCGTCTGGCCCGCCCCTCAACAGCTGAAACCCTCAAAGGGTTTCAGGTTAAGCTTTCACTTAGAGACTGCAACTCCGAGTTCAGCGTCGCTGGGGAAACAGAGGCAGGACTGAGGATTCTGGGTGAGGGGTCAGATTCTTTCTTCCCAGAGCTGTGACAGTCCTTTCGAAAGCCCAAAGTGTTTCCATGACATCCAAGAAGAAACCGCTGGGGTCCCAGTGGAGGGCCCTGGAGAGTGAAGCACCGCCCACGCGGCTGGGAAACTTCAGAGGTGGCGCTGGCTGGGGATGGGCGGGGTCCTGGCGGAGGGAGGGGCAGACTTGGGCTACCGGGTGTGCCAGCCAAGCCCTGCACAGCGGAGGCGGCAGTGGTGGCCCTCGCCTGTGGCCCCCGTTCTACTTGCGTTCGACCTCGCCGCCATGGAGGGACCCCATGAACACCTGAGTGGGAAGCTCCGGCTCTGCTTCTCCCCTGCTGCCCGGACCAGCTTCTTACTGCTTAGGCTCAACGATGCGGCGCTGAGGGCGCTGCAAGAGTGTCAGCGGCAACAGGTGCGGCTGGCCGCCGGCCCCTTCTTCCCTAGTCCCTACCCCTTGGGACTTTGGGCCTCAGCCGGCGACCCTGGAGAAGGGACCCGGGAAGGGAGAATGGTATCCGCAGGCTCTGGCTTCTCCACCTCTCCAAATGAAACCTGTCAGGCCGGTGCCCCCGGGCCCCCGACGTCGGATCCCGGGGACATCGCATCACCTGAGCTAAGATCGCGTCTGTGATCTCTCCGCAGGTACGGCCAGTGATCGCTTTCCAAGGCCACAGAGGGGTAAGTGCGGAGCCGGTGTGTGTAAGCGAGGTATGAGTGAGGGAACACAAACGTGGGCTCCAAGGTGTGGACAGGGCCGGAGGCTGCGAGTGGTTACGGTCTGAGGAAGTTCCGAGAACTGAACCCCAAGAGGGGCGACGAAGCTGCTAGGGTTGCGGTCCCAGGAGGCTGTGGTTGAGGGGACTGTGCTGTCTTAGCCTCCTGGGGAACTCAGGCCCAGCTGCACCTGGTGTGCTAACGAGCCCCGTGGGAATACATCTTCAGTTTTAGGCTGGCTCAGGGAGGAGTGGCATTGGAAGAAGGGGGAGGGGCTGACTTCTACGAGCTTAAAATCTCCTTCTACCTACCCCCAGTATCTGAGGCTCCCAGGACCTGGCTGGTCCTGCCTCTTCTCCTTCATAGTGTCCGAGTGTGGCCATGAGGGCGCTGGTGGTGGCTTGGACCTTATGTGTCAACGCTTAGGCAGGTAAGGGGCAACGAGTAGCACACAAGAAAACGTTTGTGGAAAGTGGGGGAGGGGAATGTGGAGAGGGGTTTACAAGCTCTCCACCTTCCTAGTTTTCTCCATCACCCCTTTCCAGATCTGGGCCTAATCGCCTCCACTGCCTGGGCCCACTCAGGAAACGCCTGACTATTTGGGCAGCCATGGATTCCATCCCAGCCCCATCATCAGTTCAAGGATACAACCCAACTGAAGATACCAGAGATCCTGAGAGTTGGCAGAACACAGATTATTCTGAAGGAGATACAGGATCACAGCCTCAGATGGCATTAGAAGAGGTGAGGCCAGAAACTGCAGGGAATTGTGAGAAGGTGGGGCTAAGCCTGAAGCCCAGGGAACCAAATGCTCCTGCCACTCTCCCCACCAGGTGCCAGATCCATTGGCAAGCAAACAAGGACAGTCACTTCCAGGATCCTCAAGGGAGCACATGGCACAGTGGGAAGTGAGGTACTTGGGACAGGGTGGGACTGACATGTGAAGCCCTGGTATTGTCTTCCTCCCTAATCTCCACACTTAAATGCTGTAATAAAAGATCTAGCCCCACCTTCTACCCTGGTCTTCATCTCTCCCATTCCCTTTCCAAATATTCTAGGAACCAGACCTATCTTCCAAACAGAGAGCCTGATCAGGTACTGCCTTCACCTGCCAGCCAGAAACGTTTAGATAAGGTACTTTGTAAAGGCAATTGTTTTTTAAAAATTAGAATCTCATTATATGGCAGGAATTTTGGGGAGAAGGGCAGAACAGGAAGCTCCTGGCTTACTCTTTATGTTACACAGATATTTTCCTCAACAGAAACGTCCAGCATCTGCAGCTTCTATAGAACTAGAAGAAAAGAGGTTCAGAGCTCTGCCTCTAGCTCCAAGTCCCCTACAAGGGCTGCCCCATCAGGACTTACAAGAGGGAGAAGACTGGGAACAAGGAGATAATGATGAAGGCTTAGACCCCAGGCTGGAGCACAGTCCCTCAGTCCAAGCAGGTGAGTTAATGAGAGGAGGGTAAAAATGCCAGTGGAAAAAAGTCCTATCCTGTAATCACTTTTGTTTTCTTGCTTCCTTCAGACTCTGAATCCCCAAGCCCTGAAGAGGTACCAGATTACCTCCTGTGAGTTCCTGACCATTTCCAATTTCATCAAGCCCTGTGCATATGTTAAGTTAAACGTTTTAGAATCTGAGAGCTTTTGGGGGCAAAAAAACTGAAGGTAACAACTCTGCTCCTGGCAGGCAATATAGGGCCATCCACAGTGCAGAGCAGCAACATGCCTACGAGCAGGACTTTGAGACAGATTATGCTGAATACCGCATCCTGCATGCCCGTGTTGGGGCTGCAAGCCAAAGGTTCATAGAGTTGGGAGCAGAGATCAAGAGAGTTCAGCGAGGAACTCCAGAACACAAGGTATGGAGTAAACCTAGGTTGGCTTTCCAGCACTACTGGCCATTAACTACTTGCTAACTACCCATAAGCCTATGTTTGTTCAGTGACAAGCAAACCTGCTTTGAGAAATTAGTTTGTATCATTTGTAGAATGAGAAGGGAAGTGACTTCCCGCTCTTATTTCTCAATGTTGAAATCAGTGCTGGTATTTTCTGTTCTAGGTGCTGGAAGATAAGATAGTCCAGGAATATAAAAAGTTCAGGAAGGTAAGACAAGGTCTGGGAATGGAAGCAAGAAGGTAGAAATGAGAATTTTTACTTTTTAACTTGGATGCTTTTTCTCTGCAGCGGTACCCAAGTTACAGGGAAGAAAAGCATCGCTGTGAGTACCTGCATCAGAAATTATCCCACATTAAAGGTCTCATCCTGGAGTTTGAGGAAAAGAACAGTGGCAGCTGAAGCTCTCGAGAGGGCTCTTGACCCTCTGCCCAGTGAGATGTGAAGGAACAAAGCAGCTATAAACTGGAGTGCAACTAACTATCTGCTTTTCTTCTGCTGACCACTAGAGCCCATGGTGGCAAGTGGAAAGCTGCTCTAGGTTTTTGAGGTTTGATTTTCATTGTTGCCATGTTTTAATTTCTAGGGTGTAGGCATAGTGCCAAGACTCCACAGCTGTGCCCAAGAGACTAGGAAAAGTAGTAGAGGCTTGGCTTCTTCACCGTTTAGTTCAACCAAGTCATTTTCAAATCCTGAAAAAGGATATTTCCAGGACAAAATATCTTGAAGACATTAGACAAACTGAGTAAGTGAATTTAACTGATAGCCTCCCTAGCGAAACAATAATGAGAACTTTTGGTAAAGGAGCTAAAGGAACTTGTAGCACACCTGGATATAATGAGAAAGGGCTTGATGTTACCTATGTACTGAAAGTGAATTCTTTTACAAACATGGTTAAAGAATTAAAAATGACTGCTTCTGTGTCCTTTGTACAAGTTAATGTTCTCCTTAAATCCTCCAAGGCAATGGTTCTTACCCTCGCTGTACATCTGAACTTCTGGAGCTCTCTAACTTTGACCTTGGTGTTACAAGGCCATGCTCTAACCAACTGAGCTAATCAGCCAGCCTTAGACAGCTTTACTTTTAGATTTTGCTACAAGGTTCTACCCAATCCGTTATAATTGACAAGTAGAGACTATAGTAGAAACAAAGTTCTTTTCTGAACACAGGGGTTTGCAGGATCATCTAAAATCAGGGCTCCTACCTGGAATTATCCAGTGACTGAAAACTATAACTGTAGACAGGGTTTGGATTTACCTACCAAAAAAAGGGAAACGGTCAATTCATTTGAACAAAAGGAGATCACTTCAGTCCTGTCCTTTTTCTCATTGTTGCAGAAGAAAGTGAATGCTTCACTCACAACAAGGAATGATACTGCCTTTCCCAGTTCCACTGGAGAGGAAAGTTAATGGGCCACACCCTAGGCTTTGGGGGAGAAAGCTGCACCCTGCAGTGTCAGCAATTCCTGAAACAACTTGGATGGAACCACAACCTGATGCCACACCCATGCAGGGCATTTCTGGGCAGAGAACAATCCTTGGGAGGTATAAACATGTGGTAAACTCAACTGCATGGCAAAAATAAACAGCAACCCATCCTTAGGGCATGGGCAGGGTCAGAAACAGCCCAATAAGAAAAGCCCCTCTCTTGGGCTGGCCCATGTCTTGCTTGGGAGAGCATGGTGCTGACAACACCAAGTCAAGGGGTAAGATCCCCTTACCCGTCATGTTTTTTTCCTTTTTGTCCCTTTTCGTGACCGGCAACAGATCGCAACCCTCAGTGTCACGCCGATTGGGAGAGCATGGTGCTGACAACACCAAGTCAAGGGGTAAGATCCCCTTACCCGTCATGTTTTTTTTTTTCCTTTTTGTCCCTTTTCGTGACCGGCAACAGATCGCAACCCTCAGTGTCACGCCTGCACCGGACCGGGACTGGCAACGGGATCGCAACCCTCGGTGTTGCGCCCGCACCTTGCTCAGCCAGTGAGCGGCCGGTCTGCATGTGGGATCCGAACCCTCGGCAGGAGCGTCGCCACGCTCCCAAGCGGTGCACTGCAGCAGTGCGCCGCAGCAGTGCGCCACCGGGCCGGCTCATTACCCGTCATGTTTTAAGAAAAGAAAAGCCCCTCTCATCAGTTCTAATCATCAGGCAAGGGGCCTGGGCAATAAACATGTAAGGATATAGAGAAATGAGATATTTGGAAAGAATTTAGAGGTGATTAACTATGGACCCAGTTAGTCTACAGCTATAGTGACCAGTATGGTAGTCATTATGTGGTGATATCAATTAATGAAAATTAAAAATGTAGTTCCTAGCCATATTTCAGATGTTTTGTAACTACATGTATTGGACAATGCAGATCATAGAACATTTCCATCATTGCAGAAAGTTCCACTGGACAGTGATAGTCTAGAGATCCTTTGTTTCTCCATCCCATGGAAAAAAACAGTCTAAAGGGGGCTCATTTATTATCACTTCCAAATGTACAAAAAAAAATTAGAAAATAACCCCCCAACTCAATTCCCCCCACCCCCACATTTCCCCCAAAACAAATAATTTTTCCCCAAACCACAAACATGAACTGGTCCTGGTATTTCCATAAACAGTGCAGCTAAGAAATAGTTTAGAGAAAATTTAACAGGATTCAGATTGTATCCATTCTGTCCTCTCAGCCCTGAGAGGTAAAAAATCCCATATGGGTCCCAGTCCTCCCCAATGGTTTTCCCAACTCTGGTGGAAAGGTCCTTTTACAATGTGGTTTGTTTGGCTGCTGCTTTAGAGATCTTCCTGTGCCTTCTTCTTCTTCTTGGGCTTTTCTTCTTGAATGATAGGGGGGTTTGTAGCTTCTCGCTGTAGATAGCTAATAAAATCACTTAATTCACGGCCACCCTAAAAACAGAAAGATTACTCTGAAAATTTAACTTTTTAAAAACCTCTGATTTCCCCCACCAATAGGCAGAATTTTGAGTTTGTAAAGGCATATTAGCAACCAAGTATGAGGGTACTTCAAAAGGTTTGTGGAAAAGTGGAATTGAAACATAATATAAATCTTTCCATGAACTTTTTGAAGTACCCTTGTATACTGACAATGACAGTTGAAAGAGTTTCCAGTTAAATAAACCCAGTTAAAGAACTGGAAATGTACAAATGTGTTGTGTATATTTGTGGGGAGATAGAGCAATGAATGTACTTACTTCATATTTCTTTGGATTTAGCTTCTTATTGGCTGGAGAGAAGTAGATGGTAGGAAAACTGGGGGGAAAAAAGAGTTTACTAATTTCAAGTTATAAAGTAACTCTGACATATATACTTCAATAAATTTCTGAGAATAATTTTTCTTCATGGTTTGCAATCTGATGAGATACTATTCTCCATCAGTGGCTAAATTACATCCTATCATAACTCAGGAATATGAGCGCTCACAAAATTTCTGCAGCCACGTAGGTCCACAATGCAGAACTCTAAGTCAAGAAGGAATTAGTAGGGCTGACCCATGGCTCTCTTGGTAGAGTGTGGTGCTGATAACACCAAGGCCACGGGTTCGGATCCTATATAGGGATGGCTGGTTAGCTCACTAGGGGGGCGTGGTACTGACAACACCAAGTCAAGGGTTAAGATCCCCTTACCAGTCATCTTTTAAAAAAAGAAGGAATTAGTGAGCCTGTCCTCAATTAGAATATGAAGATCCCCAAAACCAGTAAAGAAATGGTTTCCTAGCTTTTTTCCTACCAATTGACTGGACAGGGATGGCTAGTTAGCTCAGTTGGTAGAGTATGGTGCTGATAACACCAAGGTCAAGGGTTCAGATCCACGTACTAGTGGGCCACCAAAAAAAAAAAAATATTGCTGAGACACTTTTGTTAATTTTTAATCTACTTACCCCCTGACTTCATACGGAGAAGGCACATCATTGGCTGTGGCATCCATCTTGGCTATGACAATATTTGGGTCTTTGCTGAGCTGTTAATAAAAAGGTTAGATCTTTAAATTTCATGTTTTCAGTGACCGAGGAACATTTAGTCAATTCAGGACTTAAAACAATCTCATTCTTCTCAGATAGGAAGAGTGGTGGCACTTGCAGATAGTACCTAACATTCCACAAACTTTTCTTTTCTCTCTTGGCTCCTATATGTATGACTCATACATACAATCTCCTTCAAATTTACCTGGCATTACAAAGGCTGAGCCAAGTGTTTCAAGATGAAGGAACATATGGATTCATATAAGCTGTTACCAAAATTCAGAAGCTCCTAGATATTTTTAACAATCTTTTTTTCTTTTTGGTGGCTGGCCGGTATTGGGAACCAAACCCTTGACCTTGGTGTTATGAGGGCACACTCTAACCAACTGAGCTAACCAGCCAACCCTAACCATATTCTAGATTGAGTCTGAGGAGTGTGCTATGGATCAAATGTGACCCCCAAAGGTTCAAGTATTAGAAATATGATCTCTATTGTAATAGTATTAAGAGGGTTGGAAATCTGATTAAAATGTTATTTGAAATGTGGGGTCTTTATTTAAGAGGTGATTAGATTGTGATGACTGTGCCCCTGTGAATGGACTGATCCATTCATGCAGTAATGGGTGTGGTTGTGATGACTTCATAAGGAGAGCAAATGAGGAGGTTTAGCTCTATTGCTCATGCCATATCTTGCCATGTGATACCCTGCATCTCCATGGGACTTTGCACCAAGAAGAAAGCCCTCACCAGATGTGTTCCCTGGATCTTGGACTTCCCAGCCTCCAAACTGTAAGAAATAAATTTTATTTCTTTGTAAATTACCCAGTTTTAGGTATTCTGCTATAAGCAACAGAAAGGGACAAATAGAGTGGAAAGTTAAAACAGGTATCTGAGGCACTGCACAGGCTACAGACACTAGGGGGCAGTCAAGAGAAAGTGAGTAAACAGTAGATAGTGGGAAAAAATCTACCAGTTCTTTGGAACTACACTAATTAGGGTGACTAATTAGCCAATGCTGAATATGTATGTAAACTTCTCACTCAAATTTTACCTTTAGAATAGGATTCAAACTTACCTTCTCCCCCAGTTCTTTATACTTGGGCTCCAGATTCTTACAGTGACCACACCAAGGAGCATAAAATTCAATAAGCACATCTTTATTTTCATTATTCACTATTTCATCAAAATTCTCTGCTACCACTACCTGGAAAACACAGAAGATTCTCTAGTTGGTAAGGTGAGATGAAGAATAAATTCACAAGCTAAATTTACTTCTGGACCTAATCCCTCACAAATTCAATGTGTTACCACTGAAAATAAATCATGGAAATCCAAATCACATTTGCAGACTATATTAAATACGTTGCCATTCCCTAGAAACCAACTCATTTCCATATCTTTCACCTGTTCAACTATGTTCAGGAAGTCACAGGAAATACAAGTCCTACCAAACTGTTCCTTAAAATAACTTCAGAGCAACAAAACTATTCTTAGCTTGCTGTATCCCACAGAGTAATCTAGCCCTAATATAAATTCCATCAAATATAAAATCCTGTGAAGGTTTTATACTCCCACCCCTACCGAACATTATGAGCTCTGCTAATGCTTATTTTATGACTCAGGGGGATAAGGACAAAAAAAAAAAAAAAAAAGATAGCCAACAAGGTCTTCATTTAGACCCAGATGTTTGGAATAAAGAAATGAAGTGAGGCAACTGCTCATAGGTTTAGTGAGGCTATGAGCACCTCACCTTTACAGGCCCATCATTGCTCTCTGGGATAGGCTCAGATTTGAGATATCTCTTCAGGTTGCCATCAAAGTAATTCTGCAGGAACCTCTCAAGAGCCTTGCCATCACGCCTGCAATTTGAAAGACAAGGATCAGGGTTTGTTAATTTACTTCTACCACTGAGAGGATTAAAAGCAGTTTC